ATTGAATTAAGATAAACAGCATTTTTTAGAAGGATGAGAATGAGAATTTGATTGATATAGAAATGAAAAAGAATCATCTTGAGATGGAGGTTGTTTGATTATATCATTAATTTTATTAGATAAGATAGTAATGATATCAGAATGGATAGAATTACAAGCAGAACCAGTTAGAGAAGAAGAATAATATAAAGGAGGATAGTTCATTTTTTTAAGTTGTTTAAGAATTTGACGTTCACTTATAGTAGAAGGAAGATCTGATTTAGTTCCAATACAAAAGATAGGAGGAGGAAGAAGAAATTGATGAGAAATTCTTTTATAATAGTATTTTAATGAATGAAAAGAATCTGAATTACTCATATCAAAAATGAGTAATAATAAAGTTGAACCTTTTAATTCATCTCCAATAGGACAATACCTATTAGAATAACAAAATTCCCAGAATGCAGTTCTAATTATTTTATTATCAATAATATAAAATTTAGTTTTATAATCAATTCCAATAGGTGGGAGATATTTTGAAATAAATTGATTATTAACAATTCGATCACAAAGACATGTTTTTCCAGAACCTCTATCACCAATAATAGAGACTTTAAGAAAATAATCATAATTATATTGTTGATTATATTCCATTAATTTATTAACTTTTAAGTTTATATAAAATATCTTTTTAATAAATTAATATTTGAAATATTTTATCATTAATTTCATAAAATAAAAATTATTATTTATATAAAAAATAAGAATTGAATATCAAAAAAAAAAAAAGAAATGATAAAAATTAAATAAGAGTAGTCTTTGATTTATTTTGAAGTTCAAGGAATTTAATACGAAGTTCATCTAATGTTAAAGGAGTAGACTCTTCTCGAATTTTTTGAACAAAATGTTGTTCATCTAAAGAATAAATATTTATAATAAAAAAAATGATTTAAATAAAATAAAGAAAAACAAACAAATTGATGGTTGTTGTGTACCAATTGATGAATGTAAAATGTTGTTAGTTAATTTATTAATATCATTACCATTAAATGATCTAAATAATATTTTATTATCATTAATATTATCATTAATATTATCATTAATATTAATATTAATTTGAGATGAAATAGATTGATTAATTTGATTAAAACTTTGATTTATTAAATTTTGAGTAGGATTAAATTGAGAAGATATAATTGGTGGAAGAAAAGAATGAGATAATTCATCATTTTCAGGACAATCAAAAATACAAAAATCATCATTCAAATTATTTTCATCATTATCATTTAAATCATTTAAATTATCATCTATATCATCAGTAGTAAATGTTAAATAAATAAATTGTTTAATAAATGAACTAATATTTTCCATTATAATATCTAATGAATAATTTAAAGCATATTCAATAGTAGGATTATAATCATTATCAACTAATGATATTGGATATTTACTAATATCAATATTTGTATCAGTAATAAGCATAACTGCTGCTTTATTTTTAAATGAATAATGTGTTGCACCAAAAATTGTAAAACAAAGTGGAAAATTTAATTGATTATTTCCAAAATAATGCATTTCAACACCATCATTAACCCATTGATGTCCTCTAATAATTGCAATACATTGATTATCTTGAAGAAATTTATTAATTGCTTTATATCCATATTTATATGAACAATTTCTTTCTATATTAGGAATAAAATCAATTGATTGATAATACATTTTAAAATCTAAATGTTCATTTAGATTTTAAAATGT